CCCCTCCCTGCCAGCCAGCCAGCCAACAGAAAACAGACCCGCCTGCCCCCCTCCCCAAGGGGGGAGGGCACTTCCTGTCTGAGGGCTCCATTTCCTCCGCGGCCGAAAGGAGAAGGGAGGAAAAAAGAGGCAGAGGCAGAAGGAAGCAGGGAGGGAAAGCGGGGAGGGGCCGGAGGGGGGCAGACAGACCCCCCCTTCCTCGCTGGAGCCCCCCCCGTGGGGAGGGGCCCTTCTGCCCCAGAGCCTCGCAAGGCAAGCCAGCCCAGCCCCCCCTCCTCCTCCCCCACCCGGGGAAGGGCTGGGGGTGCCGTGCCTCGAATCCCCTCGCTGGTCCAGCTGATCCCCCCCACTGGACGCTCTGGCCTCGCGCCCCCCCTCCACCCACAGGGCATGCACGGGTGGGGGTGGGGGTGGGGGTGTGGCCTGCGTGTGAGGCCCCCGACGGACGTACGGCGGGGGCAGCTCCAGGGCGCTGGGCGGCGGGTTCCAGGCCTCCGGGTGTCCCAGCATCCAATCCGACCAGACTTTGATGCTGGGCAGCAGCTCCTTCAGGTCCGGCGGGAAGGCGGAGACCTTGATGTCGTCGTCCTCGGGGTCCCCCTGGCCTTGAGCCACTGCCGGGAAGGAGGGGGGCAGGTCAGAGGGGGGCCCAGGAAGCTCCGCCCCCCCAACAAGCCCCCCCCCCCCGAGGTTCCCCTTTCCCCTCCTCTCCCCCACCTGGGAAATGGGCCCCTCAACCTGCCTGGGTGAGAAGAGACGGGGGCGGGGGGACAGGCGGGGCTTCTTTTGGGGGTGCCATGCAGGCAGTCCCGGACTTACGACCAGCCTTGGACCCAGATTTCTGTGGCTGAGCGAGACCGTGGTGGAGGAGGGAGCTGTGCCCCCCTTTTTACGACCTGCCAGCCGCCAAGCGCCCTCCGGGCTGAGAGGAGGCTCAACGCAGGGACCCCGCAGCCTTGGGAGGGGTGGGAAGCGGCCCCTTTCAGGCTAGAGGTCACTTCCAATGGGCGCTAAAGGAACCGTTGTAAGCCAGGGACTACCTGGGTCCTTTGTGTTTTACAGGTTTTATGGGATGTTCTGCCCAGGTTCATGCCGGTTGGGGCAGCCCAAGACATACAACGCGCATACAAGCAAGCAAGCCAACTGGACTCCCTTCACATTGGGGTGCGTGTGCGTGTGCGTGTGTGTGTGTGAACTCTGCAATCTGGAGCCCTGAGCAGGCCGGGCACCTGACTGAGCAGTGAGCCCCGTGTGGGGTGCGGTGCGGAGGCTGCCGAGGGTCCTGGGCTCCCCCCACCCAGGGGTGCAGGGCTGGAGAGACGCACCAAGCAAGCCCTCCCCTCAAACCCTCCACCCTCCCGCCGGCCTTGCAGGAGCCAGGCCCAGAAAGAGGGGGGGGTCCCTGGGCACGCTGGGGCAGCCACCCGTCCGGGCTGGGGATCATGGGCGGGGGGGCCGCTTCCTCCCAGGCTCTTTCTAGGCCCGCCGGAGGCGCAATGCAAACGCTTTCGACCTGCACCGAATGGAGCCGGCAGCCCAGCCCAGGGCGGCTCCCATGGCGGACCCAAGCGAGCCGCAGCCCACCAACCCTGGCCTGGAGGGGCCGTGGTAACCTTGGAGACGGGGCTGGTTTTGGGACAACCAGGAGCCCTCGGGCAGCTCTGCAGGGCAGGTGTGTGTGTGGGGGAGGGGACGAGGCTCAGGCTGGGCCAAAGGGCAAAATGGACCTGGGCAGCCGGGCCTGCCATGCCGGGGACCCCATGTGGACATCCAGCAGGGCAAGTCAGAGGAAGGCGGCCAAGTCTGCCTGGGGCTGAGGGGCTGCCCTACTGTGCCCAAGTGGAGGCCCGGCCCTCAACCCCGGCCCCCCTCAAGTGTGGGGGGGCTCTGTCCTGGGGAGGGGAGCCCCTCGCAAGGGGAGCCGGAAGGAGCCTGGGCCTGCCTGCTGGGGGGGGCCCCCCCCCATGGCTGCCCCCGCCCCCCCCCCCTTGGGGCCCGGGGGGGCCGGGGCCCCCCCCCCCCCCCCCCCCCCGGAAGAAAAGGGCCAGGTCCGCAGCCTGAGGGTGGAAGGAGCCCCAAGTCTCCCCCCCCCGCCTTACCTAGGGAGACGTCCTGCAGGAGGCGGGTGCAGCGCTTGACCAGGGTGGCGAACATGGCGAGGCCCAGGGCGCAGGCCTGCTCCTGGATGACCGAGCGGCAGTCCTCCGACAGGCACTCTAGGCAGGAGACAAGCGGGAAGCTGGGCAGAGGGGCAGGGAGGGAGGGGGCTGCCAGCCCTCAGCTGCCCAGGGAGGAGCCCCCTCCCCCCCCCGCGAGGCCCTGCCGCCCTGTGCCCCCCTGGGGCGCTGAGGGGGGCTGGCAGCTGCCACTGGGACAGAGGTTCCACCGCGAGGAAGACACCATCCCCCACCCCAACCCCGCCGGCCTGGCAGCCTCCCCCCCGCTTCACACCAGGGGCAACTCCCAGGGGGAGCCCCGTGTGGGGCAGGCTGCGGCAGTCGCGGCACGAGGCCCTCTAGGCACGGGCAAAGGGGCAGGAACAGCGGGGGGTTCAGGGGCCACCCCAGGACGTCACTCCGAAGGGGACCGGGGGGGCTGGAGGCCAAAGTGAGGGAAGCGCGAGGGCCAGGGGGGGCGCAAGAGCAGCCTTCCCACATCTGAGGGGCTGCCCCAGAGAAGGAAAAGAGGGGGGGGCACCTCTCCCCAAAAGGCAGGGACCAGGAGCAACGGGTGGAAGCTCATCGGGGAGAGAGAAGCAACCTGGAACGAAGGAGGGACGAAAGGTGGGGGGGGCTCCATCGCTGGAGGCTTCGAAGAAGAGACCGGGCCGCCCTTGGGGGTTGGACTAGAGGACCTCCAAGGTCCCTGCCAACTCTCATTTCTGTTACGTGGGCCTGTCCCGGTAGGAAGAGGGAGCCCCTTCCTCAAGAAGCTGGACCGCCTCCCCTGGCCCACTTCCTGACCCCTTCTCCCCCCTCAAGGAGCCGCCCCGGACCCCGGGCCCAGCTCCAAGGAAGGAAACATTGACAAGGCAGGAGGCTTATCAAGCACCTGTTAATCGTATGCAGGTCACCAAGGTGACCGTTTGACCCCCCCCTGCCAGCCCAGCCTCGGCCACCTCAGGGGCTATTGGGGGGGAGGGGCTCCTTCTCAGCCCTTAAGGGGCCCTTATCCCCCATTGGAATTGAATGACCGGAAGGAGGCCTCCCCCTGCCCCCCCCCCCGTTTGGCAGCCTTGGGTCTTGAGGGGAGGGGCCACGCTCCCAGGGGGCTCGGCGGCAATCCGCCCCAACTTCTCCCAGGGACCTTGGGGGACACGGCAGGGGCCCAAGATTGGCCCGGTTGGCAAGAGGCCCGGCTCTCCTCCCCGCCTCTTCCTCCGCTGACCCCCTGCCCTCTGGGGGCCCCTCCTGCCCCGGGAAGACCAGGAGCCGCTTTCAGGGCCCGCAGGGTGGCCAGAGGATGACCCGGAAGGGGAAGGGGGGGCCTGGGACGGGCAAGGGCTTGTTGCGGGGCCAGAGCAGCTGGAGGGGAGGGGGGGGCTTCCTTCCGGCCCCCAGCACCAGGAGCGGCCCTTTCCAAGCCAGGGCCTGGGACTTCCGGCCGGGCCCAGCGTCCAGGCCGGGTGCCAGCCTCAGCTCTGCCAAGCTACCTGGGCCGCCCTGCGCCTCCGCGAGGCTCCTCGTTTCCCAGAGAACAAAATAGTTGTGGAAAACATAAACCAACTGTCGTCAAAGTTGTCGGGTCTCAGGAAACGGATCGGCTGGGAGAAGGAGGCCGCCATGTGGCCGGATGTTATGCGTTTCTAATTAGCGCTATACATCTTTCAGCGGAGCAGCCGCCAGCGACCGCTTGCTGGGAAAGGCAGCCCGGCCGGCCTTGTTATTGTAACTGTCAAGGAGCCCCGGAGCCCAGCAGCTCCGGGAAGAGGCGGGGAGGGAGGGAGGGAGGGGCGCTCTTGCCCCCCCCCCAGCAGGGGGCACCCCGGGTGCCAGCCTTCAGGCCACCGGGAGCGAAGACGATGCCCCCGCCATGGACCCGTTTGGTACGGTCCGAGCCCTCAGGGCCAGCCCGAGGGGTCCCTGGGGAGTCCACTGGCCCCGCACCCCTGGACCTGCCAGGTGAGGCTGGGGAGGAGCCTGGCTGACCGATCAGGCTCCCCTAACGGTCGCCTCTCAGGTGCCCCAGGCCCCTCGGCTGGCCTTTGCCTTCTGCAGGGAGGGGGGGCCGATGAACCAACGCCGGAGGAGGGGGAGGAGGGATCCCAGCCGGCCGGCAGCCTCTTCTGCAGGCTCAGCCCCGGTGGATGCTGCCCGGCCTCCGGTCGTCAGCCCAGAGGGAGCCCAGGCGGGATCTGAGGCCCAAGCCCTCAGAAGGGAGCTGGAAGGGACCCCCAGAGGTCTTCTGGCTGTACCCCCTGCCCCAAGCAGGAGACCCCGTACCATGTCAGACCGCTTTCTCCTTAGAAGCCTCCAGTGTTGGGGCGCTGCTTCCTGGCGCTTTGGACCCCCAGCCCCTCAAACACTGGGAGGCCGCTGCCATGCCCCCCCCCCCCATTTCTCTAGACTGGCCACACCCAGATCCTGCAGCCGTTCATCTTCCAACGTTCAACCATCTTAGTTGCTCTCCTCTGCACCTTTTCCAGCAACAGAGGGGAGGTGGGGGGTGGGACCGTGGGAAGAGCAAGGACTTGGGCCGGGTGTGACCCCTTTGCCCCCCCAGGCCCATGGCCGCCCCCAGGGCCTAAGGCAACCCGCCTTCAGCTGGGCTCCCCGCAAACGGGGGCATTGCCCGGAGGCTGGCAGGGGCCCAATGGCAGGGGCTGGCCTGAGCGTGGCCCCCAGAAGCCCCCTGACCTCCCCACCCCCTCCCCAGCCGGTCCTCATTCTGGCAGGGCCTCCCCTCAACCCCCCGCCATGGGAAGAGCAAGGACTTGGGCCGGGCGGAGGCTGCCAAACCCGGGGAGGGGGCAAGGAGGACCAGGGGGCTCCCCATGGAAGCCATCAGGCACTCAACACTTCATCTGTTTCTCCCAGCCCCCCCCTTCCCCCCACCCCCCGGAGCACAACCCCCAGGGCAGGGCCTGGATTCTGCTCTGGCGTCACCAGGAAGCAGCTGCAGAGTTTGAGGAGCCCCCCCCCCACCTCCCGGGAAAGGCCGAGGTCCTGCGCAGGAGCGAGGGCCCAGGCGGAGCGGCTGCCCCCTTGGAGGGCCTGGCCAGCCTCCGGGCCCTCCTCCGCTGCCCAACGCTCCCTCCCCCCCCCCCCCGTGGCTTCCTCTTCCGCAGGCTGCCAGGCGCCAGCATCCCTCCGACCTGCCCGCGCACACGTACGCGCTGGCCCCGGGTGTGGAGGGCACGCTCTGCCCTGGCCACGGACGTGGCGCAGGCTTTTCCCGGAAGTATCTGGGGAAGGAGGCTCCCATTTTTAGAACATGTTATTCCCAGGCATTTCCTGAAAAGGCTGCAGGAGGCATGCGGAGGAGGAGCCAGCTCCCCCTGCGGCGGGCAGAAGGCCGGGACCGGGACTGGGGGGGACGGACGGACGGACGGGGAGAGCAGCGAGGACCCCGGATGATGCCAAGGCCGCCCTGGGCCACCTGAGGGGGGGCCTTTCCAAGGGCAGCAGCCGGCTGACCGAATCACAGCCGCCTTGGAGGGCCAGAGCCAGGTCCTGGGGTCTCTTTGCTTTGTTTTTTTTTTTTTTGGGGGGGGGGGCTTACCCAGCGGTCCTTGACTTACATCACTTCACTTAGTGGCCAAAGTTAGAAGGGCCCTGAAAAAGGGGGACTTATGGCCGTTTTTCACACATACGGCTCCCGTGGTCACCCGATGGTCCCCTGGTCCACATTCAGGCCCCCGGCAACCTGGCTCGCCTTTGTGACGGTCGCCGTGTCCTGGGATCACGTGGGTCACCTTTTTGCAACCATCCGACCAGCAAAGTCAGCGGGGGAGCCGGGTTCACTTAATGACCATGAGTCGAATTTAACAACGGCAGGAATTCGCACCCAACAACCATCACCAGAAAGGCTGCAGAATGAGGGGAAACCTCATTTAAGGAATGCCTCGCTTAGCAACAGAAGTTTGGGGCTCAATTGTGGTCGTAGGTCAAGGACTGACCGTAGGGGTCAATAATAAAGGGCCACTCCAGTCCTGGAGAGAAAACCACAAACACCCAGGGAAGCGGCCCAAAGACCAAAGCCCTCAAAGGAGCACCGGGGGGGCTGGGGGGGGTCTGCAGGGAGGGAGGGGAGGGGGGTGCAACCTGTGGGGGCCATTGGCAGCCCCCCCAAAGCTCTCGGAGACCCCCGTCTGCAAATGAGCCCCAAGTCAGCTGGTTCTGGCCTTTGGGGTGCAGCTGGGAAGCCCCCCCCCTCCGGGCAAGGAAGCCCCTTCCTTAAAATGCCAAGGCCCAACTGGGCCACAACCCTGGAGGCCTTTCGGACCGGGGGAGGCCGGGTGGGAGATCCCCGGGCTGCCCCTTTCCTGCCTTTCCGACGCTCCCACCGGAGAGTGACTGGTGGCTTCCTTGCAGGCGTCTCATGACCCAACCAGGGGACATTATCCCAGTGGTGGTCAGGGGGCACCCAGGACCCCCCCTTTCTACGCGCCCCCCCGCTCGCCCTGTACTGCGTGTTTAGTATCTGGTGGTTTTCACCTGGCGAGTCCACCTGGGGGCCGAGCCAGGGCCTGCCCCCCCCCGCCCTCTTTGTGCCCCCCTCCCCCGCCCAGCCCTGAGGTCGGGGCCTCTCGACACTTCAGAGGAACCACAAGAGCAGCTCTCTGGCAGCCACGGTGGCCTTCGCACGCTGGCGGAGAGTCATTCCGAGGGGCTGTTTTGAATATCGGTCTGAGAAGGTATTTCGCTTTTGGTTTCAATCTTCGCAGGCTCCCCGGGCTCACCAAAAGGGAGACGGGAGGCCCTTGACAGCTAATCCGATCCACGCAGCCGTGAGGGCTCTTGGGCACCGGCCGCAGACAGGAAGGTGCCAGGGCCTCCGGGTTGTCTTTGGGGGTCTTTTATGCCCACGTGCAGCAGGAGACGGGCCTGCTCTGCCTCCCACAGACGAGGGGCGCCTGTGCCAGCCGCTGCTCCCCCCCTGGCTACGGGGAGGGGGTTGGTCCTTGGGGGACAGGGTGAGGGTCCTGGGGGCAGGAGAGGAGGAGAGCTAAGGCCTGGCACCACACCGTTCCTGGCCGGCCGAACTCAAGTGAGGC